GACTCCTTAAATAGGTAATATAGAAAAGTTACACATGTAGCCAGTTGTACACTCGTCTAATAGTTCATTATAGATCCATCTATATAAAACATGTACCCACTATAAGTATTAATCAAAAGCTCGGACCAAAGAAGTCACCTTAATACTGAAAAAAAAAATAATAATTTTAAATAAAAATGAGTACTGCATCATTAATAATGCTTTGACATTTGATCTGTCCCTTGAATTTATATACGGTATTTTCAAATATAACTAAGTTACTCAGAAAAATTTTTTTATATAATATATTTTGAAATCATGGTAAGTTATAAAAAATATGAAAGACTCTGATAGCTTTTTAATATATAACAAAAGTTCAAAATTTCATGTTCAGCATACCTTTTGTGAGGATAATTGAAATAATGAAAATAAGAGACCTAATAGTAAAAAAACACATAAGGAATATGAGAGCAGAAGGAAATGACAAAAAAGAGCAGAAGAGACCAAGAAAGATCACGAAACTCAACTTGCAAGCATGCAAAATAGATATCATCAAAAGAAAGCTAGTGAAACCATGGAGGAGCAAATTCAGTAAAGTCTATGAAATGTAAATAACATATGAAATAAGCATATATTAGATACTGAAGAACAACAAATTAAAAGGAATCTTTAAAACACTTCAAATATATGTAAGAGACAAGCCGCAGAAGCTCTCAAAACACGTTAAATATAAATAAAGATCTCTCAGAAAATAATCTTCCAAGATCTGACTGTGAGCTTCTACAAAAGTTTAGAGATATAATTAATAAACTTAAAAATAATTAATGCAAAACGTGTAATGAAAGATTTCCTTCTATCGAGCTTTTTGAAGAGGAATGTCGTCAATGCTATAATGAAAAGACAAATCCTAAAAAATTCTCTGTAGAGAATAATATGGATCCTAGTAATGAAATCTTCTAATATATATCAAAAGAGTAATATGGCTTATTATCTTTTTTTTTTTACAGAGGAAGTTCCACAAGAACTCAAAAATTTAACTAGTATTGAGGAAATGCTTATTGCACAAGTATTTCCTGTAATTTCAGTATATAACTTACATAGAGGGCAATACACATATTGTGGAAATGTTATTAATTTTTCACAAGACCTACAAGAATTTGTAACTTGCCTCCTCCACGATTCATTATCATTAGATGTATTAATTGTTCAACACCATTCTACTAACAGTCCCGAATTTTGTGATTTTAATATCTATAAAGAAAAAGTAATTCAGGCACTTCAGTGACTGAAGGCAAATAATAGATTTATCATGACATTACTATAGCTGATGAAATTTTGGAATCCTTACTTGAAAATGGTTCTATTGTCAATCAACTTCTGTGACTCATAAATAACAGCAATGATTATCAAGATGAAACAAGTTCAGTTAGAGATGAAGATAATGAGTTAAATGAGGATAAGTTAATTTCACAATCCTTTGTTTCTTCTATACTACCTGGGCAGAAGGAAGATAGTACAATTAATAGCACCCTTAGTCGAATGCAGCAAGGTTAACTGCAGCATGAGAAAACTATTGATTGGCCCTACAGTGAATGTAATCCTATTAATGAGTTCCAAACTGCTGGATACATGATGAAAGCATTTCTCATACTTTTCCTTAGAGGTGCTGCAGATCTTCATGCTCATCGAATAAGAGAAGTAAAGCCAGCAGAATACTTTAAACATCTAATGCTATATAAAGATGGGTGATTTGCTCACCATCCCAGATGGCATTATTTTGTATTAAATTTGCTAATAAGATGAAAGGCATTATCTGAAAGGCATGTGTTTATTAAACAAAATTTAGAAGAAAGGCAACTTACTATAGAGGAGGTTATAGATTTAATACAAAATGACACCCATATGGCCGACCAGGTTGTTAGGTATGGTGAAGGTCTATATGGTACCTGACAATATTGGATGTGCCATAGATCTGAACTAACTGATATAATAAAACAATTGGGATCTAAGGAAATGGTATTTTTTACATTCAGTACTGCTGATATGCAATGGCCTGATTTATATAAACTTATGCCTAATGGAGAGTGTCCTATAGAAGAAATCAATCAAGAAGCTGCTAGATGCTAATATAAGGACCTTATAGAAAATCCACACATTGTCACATAGTTTTTCGAAAAGTGATTTAAAGTTTTTTTTAAAAAGGTTTTAATTCCCAAATGGAAGCTTACAGATTGGTGGTATTGCTTTGAGTGGCAGCATCGTAGAAGTGTCCATGTACATAGCATTTGCATATGCAATGAAGCTCTAGATATCGAGTAAAAGAAAATATGTAATAATACAGAAAAAATGAAAGAAGTAGTGCATTATCTAAATTCATTAGCTACAACAATCAATTCTGAATTAAATGCACCTATACCTGCTCAACATCTGTGCCAAAAACATTTAGAAGAACTCAATGATGACTTGCAAGATTATGTAGAACTAATAAATAAATTACAGTGTCATACACATTGCAGTTCCTCCTATTGCTTGCGAACTAATAAGCAGACTGGCAAACAATTCTGTAGATTCAGATTTCTCAAAGAGTTAAAAGATGAAACTGTACTGCATAATGAAAATGGTTACATAGAATTAATCACAGCAAGAAATGATCCTCTAATTAATTCACATGACTGTCTTCAGCTACAAGAATGGCAAGCAAATGTTGACCTAAAGCCTATCCTATCAACTTATGCTGCTTTATAGTATGTTTCTAAATATGCTAGTAAAGTGGAACCATGATCTTTAGGCTTTTCAGAAGTGTTGAATGAAGCTCTTTATGATAGTCAACTAGGTGATTCTGCCACTAAAGCATTCCAGAAACTATTACTATATACAGTGGCAGAACAGGACATTTCAGCACAAGAAACCTGCCATCTTCTTCTATAAATACCACTATATCATTGTAGTAGAAATTTTGTCATCCTAAATTTTAATAAAGTATCGAATCATTTGCTTCGAAATAGGAGTGCAAATAAAAATAAAATTAATAGTTATGGAACAACAGATATATTGATAATGCAGAAGTATTGGAACAGACCTAATGAACTTCAAGAGCTTTCACTCTTTAAACTATACTTACAATATAAGTTAGTTAGAGGAAAGTGGATAAAATGCAACAAGAAAATATTATTTATGTTTGGCCTTGTCCTTCATCAGTTTCAAATGGACCACAGTAGGAAGATTTTTGTTGAATAAAAGTTCTTCTACATGTTAGCCATAAAGACCTTTCTCAACTTACAGAAAATGGAACCCTCACATGAAAGGAATTATATAATTGTTATTTTTTAGAGATAAATGCAGATCTCATTGATTTAATTGGATCTTCAATGGAAAATATTGTAGTTAATAATAACAATTCCAATGAGCAAGATCAGGATAATACACAGGAAGGATCTAGTCTTCGACCTGACTAGATGATATTATCAAACATAGTTTCAAGTATACTAATGCAGCAGTCTGATTTTGGTAACTGTGATATAGATGTAAATTATTATTGGGTTGGTGAAAGTCAGCTGCAATATCCAGAACTTGATGTTGAGAACTTTATTCAACAAGCAATCCATGATAATGTTGTAGTTCATGAGAATTTAACGGAATTTGATTTTGGAACTCTAAATAATAAACAAAAAATAATATATAAATAAATAAAATCACATTACACAAGTGTAATTTTGAATCAAATAGTGGAGCCACTACGAATAATTATTATGGGCACTGCAGGAACCAAAAAATCTTATCTGATTAGAGCTATTTAAAGAATGCTTCATGAGATAGCAAAAAATAATAATATAAATGATAATATTCTACTTTTGCTGGCTTCAACTGGTGTCACTGCTTTTAATATCCAAGGAAGTACAATCCATTCAGCACTTTTTATTTTAATAACGGGTACAAATTATGATCTTGAAAGTAACAGATTAAAGACACTTCAAAATAAGCTACAAAAAATACAATATATTATTATCGATGAAATGAGTATAGTAGGATGACGTATACTTGTTATAATCAACCTGTGATTGCATCAAGCATTTCCAAATAATAATAATGCTCCATTTGGCAGTAAATCTATTATTTTTGTTAGTGATTTTGGACAACTTCCACTAGTATGCGATTTGCCTATGTATTCCCAAAACATTCGTAGAGAGAATCTGTTATCTGAAGATGGGCATAAAATATAATATTTATTTTAGGAGGTATATAAACTCGATGTTGTACAATAGCAAGCCAGAAATTCAAATGAACAATGTCGATTTAGAAATCTTCTATTAAGATTATGTAATGATGAATCTATTCAGACAGATTGGGAGCTTTTGATGATATGAGTTTCAAAAAATCTACCTAAAAATGAACAAAAAGAATTTTTTAGTGTTACTAATATTTTTACAAGATGAAAGAAAGTTGATGAGGTTAATTGTATTAAACTTCTTTCTTTAAATCAACTGATTGTTAAGATATGTGCTGTTCATATGAGTGTAAAAGCTTCATATACTGATTCAGAAACTGTGAAAGGGCTTGAAGCTGCACTGTTATTATCAAAAAAAGCATGAGTGATGCTTAACACAAATCTTTGAATTTCTAAAGGGCTTGTGAATGGTGCAATAGGAACAATAGAAGATATTTTATTCAAATACAAAGTTGGACCTACCTCCTTACCCACAGCTGTTCTTGTTGCATTTGATGAATATCATGGTCCAATTATTATGAGCTCAAATAGAATTTAAGTCATGTCTATTATTCCTGTCCAACGTATCTGAGAAGGTAAGTTTGGTATATGCTCTTGCCTCCAGATTCTACTTTCGTTTGCATGGGTTATTACAACACACAAATTACAAGGGTTAACTTTACCGAAAGCTGTCATTGATATTGGCAAAAAGGAATTCACTGCTGGGCTATCTTTTGTAGCTATATCATGCATCTGTTCACTTCAAGACATACTTTTAAGTCCATTTACTTTTGAAAAGCTTCTATATATAAAAAATTGTAAAAGAATGCAAGAATGTTTAGCTAAAGAGAGTAGATTAATGGAGTTTGAAATTACTAAACAAAGAGCTATCTAAATAGTTCAAATCAAGAAGTATTGAAAGTTTTATGATGCATAAAATGCTTTTAAGAAAAGTTACTGGCCTTGTTAAATTTTAGTAAAAATTATCTGTATAACGAGTAACAGCTAACAGATTTTTTTTTTTACAGCATTATGAAGAACTAACACAAATTTTTTTTTAATATACTATATACAAGTAATGAACATGTAACATTTTATTAATGATTTGGCACTAGAGTGTGACTAATCATAGAACATGCCAAATAATTATTTATTATATAGTTTATATATGTAGTAAAAGTTTATTTATGATCGTTAAAATCAGCATAGTAATTAACGAATAAAATTACTTATAGGTTTTTTCCATGCATCACAAGATTTTTTACTATAGTACGAATATCTAAAAAAATATTTAAAGTATTCTAAAGTATTTTTCTGATTGATCAAATCAATAATTAGTTGATCTAAAAATAGGTGCAGACATAATTACACACAAAATCTGGTCTATTACTTCTCTATTAGGTCCTCCACTACACTCCAGACAATAAACAAATATTTAACCAATACTGGCAAACAAAATATACACCAAATTCAAAAATTAATTCTAAATAGTATAATTCTGCATTTGAACATATTGATATAGAAGAAGTTATACAAACTATTTAACAACTTCTAAATAACAAAGTCTGTGAACTATCAAAAATTAGTATAAGATAATTAAGTATATTAGAATAGATATACTAATAGCACTTATAGCATTTTTAAACAAATGTTTTATTTAACAAAACATTTCAAAACAGTGAAAAAAAGTAAAATATTTCTTATATTAAAAAAATTCCAATTTGATGATAATCTTAATAATACTAGATTTATTACTTTAGTTAAACATTTTAAAAAAAGTTATACAAAAATTCTTACTAACTGTCTTAACAAAATTCTTATAACTCATTCTATTTTAAATTTATATAACTATGTTGCACTTTTAGACAACTCAACTAACAATCCTATACATATACTTAATAACTTTATTGAAGATATGATTTGTACTAAAAAACAAATTTAGATTCTATTATAAGATATAAGTAAAGCTTATAACTTAGTAAATATTTAACTTTTCAATAAAGCATTATAATAAATACATATACTTATATGTTTAGTTAATACTATAATTAATCTGCTTTATAATTACTCTAACCAGATAATTACTAACTTTGATTCTTCACTTTTATATAAAGTACAGAATAATATTAACCAAAAAAAAACTATAACATATACTAGTTATACTTTAATAATCAAATAAATCTCTTAATCTAACTTAATAAAAATACCAATTAGTAACAACTTCAATATCAATCTTTATAGTTAGCTAAAACCAAAGAACAGCTTCAAGAGATAGTACAAACAGCATTACCATTCTATACTATAACTCACATCAAAGTTAATTTACACAAATCTATTTTTGTTTTTAATACAAAATCAATTTCAACTATCTATTTTATAAACTTTACAATACAAATATTACCTTATTACACTTCTTTTAAGTTTCTAGAATGTTGGTTCACAACTATCTTCAAATATGTTATTCAAATTAAACTAATTAAACAAAAAGTATCATAACTTAATAAAATACTTAAAACCAAAAATATAACAAATAAACAAGCAGTATATATTATTAATACAGTTATTATTTCTACTTTAGAATACTACATATATAATATAGTTTTATTATACACAACATGCAACTCTATCTTATTACAATATATTACTACTGTTAAACATAAATCAAACTACCTGTAACTACACTATATAGTATATTATTAAATCATAATATATAGAATATCAAAAACATATAAACTATACAAATTTAACATCATATTTCAAACTTTTTATTTCATATTAATGACTTTAATTTCATAAACACAAGTACTCATATTAGACTCCAACAATTACAAAATAATCTATAATCAACAACCAACATTCTATATTATAAAAACCTAATAATAGATAAATTAAATAAATATATTATTACTTTTAAAATTATACAACAAAAATATACACAACTCTTCTCAATAATCATTTTGATACAAAATTGGTAAGAATGAAAAACAAAGTTTTTTTTTTATAAAGACTAATAAGAAACCATCTAAACAGTACTAAGCTAAAAGAAGCAGCAACAAAAAGTATACTAAACAAGCTTAGAAACTAAAGAGAACACAATAATATTAGAGTAGTTATAAGAGGAAAGCAAGATTTTTGGAAAAATTTTAGCATTGAAATGACAACTGTGAAGATTGCCATCTAACTCTAAAAGTAAATCTGTTTATATTGCACAAAAGTTATGTAATATATCAAGCAACAACAACAAACATATACAAATAGCTATATACAAAATAGACAAACTAATATATAGCAATAAAATAGAAGAATATTCTAGAAAAGAACAAATATAGTAATGAATAAAAGTTTGCCTGAAGAGTATAGAGGAAATATAAAAGCAATATGCATAAGAAGAGCATACTAGGCATTGAGCAATGTATATAATAAGCATTTCTTTAATGAAGCTAGCAAAACATATATAGTGCCAGATAGAGAGAATAGAATTGTAGTAATGCTTACTAGGCAAGATACAAATAAAGTAGCTTTCTTACAAATAACAAAAGAAATAGTAAAAAAAACTAAAAAAAAACAGCCAAAAAAAAAAATAGATTTAGTAAAGTAAATACAAGAAGTGGCAGAAAAAAAAGAAAAAGAAATCTAATAGCAGATAGTGATTGAAAAGAAATAAGAAGATCTGTATAAAGCAATACAAGAAAACAATATAGCTAGTAAAAAGCTAAACAGCAAAGAACTACAAAAATTGTTACAACTGTTCAAAAAAAAAAAATGCAGAGGTAAGTTTTATAAATAGCAGACAAACAGAAATATAGCCACCTATTCAAGAAAAGAAAGTCAGAGAATAGCTAGAAGAGCAAGAACAAAGGATAACACAGATAGCCAAAGATGCAATGCAAAATGTGATCAAAGAAGAAACAACAAAACAAAAAAAAAAAAATCTGAAAATTGAAAAAAAAATTGACATAGTCAGAATACCACTTAAAAACAGTATATAGGCACCAAATAGAAGAAACTATAACCAAAATAATAGCTTACTTGCCAATATACTAGCATACAATATGCAGTTACAATGCAAGAAGAACATACAAAATTTATCAAATAGTTACTAAAAAACAATAAACATATTAAAAAAATCAAAGAAGTCTTTAAAAGAAAAAACTTGTAGATTAAAGTAAACTTTGACTGTAAATATGACAGAAACAAGCAATACAAAAAATCAGCAAAAAGAAGAATGATTGGTACAAACTAATATCAGAAAAAAAAAGAAACAAAAAAGAAAAACAAAAAGTATATAATGAAAAACATCACAAAAAAAGAAACAATATAACGAAAACTGAAGAAAAGATATACAATAAGAAAGATGATAAGACCAAAGCAAATATAAATTACAATAAAATCGATGAGAAGCCTGAAAGCAATAAATGCTTAACAATATGGGATTTGTCATCAAATATTAACAAAAAAGAGCTAGAATATATCTGTAAAAGATTTAAGTATGCCCAAATAGTAAGAATTAAAAGATCAAAGTACAAAACTCTAATGATAATGCAACTAGAAGAAACCAGAGAGATAGACATCTCTTGGGTCATATTAGTTAACAATAACAAACTAGTACAAGTAACTAAAGGTGAAGAGAACTATAAAGCAAGAGAAAACCAAAGAAAATATACAGCAAAGCTGACAGATCTACACAGAAATGTCTCAGAAGTTCTACTATTATGATGTCTAAAAAGCAAAAAAGCAAAATCAGTCCATATTCTACCAAACAGAAATGGAAACCAAAAAAGAACAGCAATAATAATGTTTACAACAGAAAAAAAAATAAATGCAACTCAAACAAAACTGATTTTGTATAACAACTTTCGAGTATATTGAATAAATGAAGAAAGAAGAATAACAGAAAAAAAAGAAAACCTTAGAGAAGAGAGAGAAAGAAACTAGGACAGATGCAGCTAATTCTTTATAAGAGAAGAAAATATGAACAACAAAGAAAGACAAAGAAACAAAACTTTTATAAATAAAAATAGAATCAAAAATAACTCAAATTGGAAATTCAAATCATTAAAAAAAAGAAGTAATACTCAGAATTAACATAGGGTAAACCAAGCAAGAGATACAGATGCAAGAAAAAAAAAAAAAAAAACACAGAAAGTAGATCAGAAGATCTTAAAACACAAAAGCAAGATTGAGAGTCACATATGAAGAAAATTTTAAAATAAATTTGGAAGAAATTAGAAAAACTTGAAGAAGCAAGAGACATAGCTAGGAAAGACCTAACAAATTGCTCCTGAGAGCATCTCAATTGAAATTACAAATATGGATGAGGAGATCAGAGACTTTCTACACAAGAAGAAAAGAGCTTTTAAAGAAAAAAATAAAGAAGAATCTTCTAATTTAAGAGAAAGAAAGAGAAAAAAAGGCAAAGAAAAAACAAAAAACATAAGACAAGATACAAGTAGTTAAAAAAAAAATAGAAAAAAAAGAGAAAAGAAATAAAATTAGTCTGTTATAATGTTAATTGACTCAAAACCAGAGGCTGAAAATTAGAAAATCTGCTAGCCTAAAAGAAAAAAAAGAAGTAGCAATCTTAGAAATAACAAAAATAAACATTATAGAAAAAGAAGAGAAAATATTGCTATACAATCTTAGCACAAGATTAAAGGCTATAGGATTAGTGCAATATTAGATAAAAAAAAAGAATTAGATATTGGAATTCTAATAGATGAAACTTGAGAAAAACATGTTAGAGCAGTCAAAAGATTCAATAAATATATAATAGAAGTAAGACTATACTTCAAACAACTAGAACTAGTAGTTATTAAGATGTATATTTCACTAAACAATAAATTGATTAGTAAGAAAATTCAGCAGAAAATAGTAGAAGTAGTAACAAACAGAAAA